CCTGGGGACTTTTTTAGATTTAGATTAATCAATGATTATTAGAATGGCAGTGGCAAAGTGAACTTGATGAAGAATTGTTTGGGATGGCCCCATGGCATAGTAGCTAAGGAACCAGATCCAACATGGTTGACCATGGTGTCAATCTCAGCCTCAGTGGCTTGGAAGCTATGCCAGGCATGTGTACATGCATACTCCAATCCCAACAGAATATAGAAATGGAGGCGAAGGGATTGTGGTATGACCACATCCCATCAGGAGGTGCTTTTGTTCTCTCTCTCTCTCTCTTTCTCTCTCTCTGGTGAGTTCACATTCCCTCTGGCAAATTTAAAAAATATGTTTTTAAATAGTCAAGCATACAATGTATTAGTCCACTAATTCCTGGACATTGGAAATCAAACTAGATTTAGTCCCTTGAAAGTAATTTGAATTAGTGGAAAAAACAAAACCTGTCTCTTATTTTTCCTTCTGTACGAGAAGTTACAAAGGATTGCTCTCGTGAGCTCAAAAAACATACATCAAATAAGAATCTCTGAATTGACTACAAAAAAATTTAAGGAAGATCACAATGAAACTTTTTGTGAAGTAGTGGAATAAAAGAAATTTTCTTTTTTAAATAGTTATTTTATTTAACTTTATTTATTTATTTATTTATTTATTTATTTGTGTTTTAATTTGAACAGAGAGTGACAGAGAGAGAGCAAGAGAGAAGATGAGAAAGCAAACTGCCAAGTCCAGAACTCAAAACAGCAGTCAGCCATGTGGGAGTCCAGTGCCCTTAACCACCATGCTACCTGCTGGCTCCAAAATAAAAGAAATTTTCTACCTGCATATTGATAAATTGATCTTGTTCTATTCATCTAATAACTAAAACTTTAAATGATGGAAAACAATGTGCAGGAAAGAAAGTTTTTAATAGAAAGAGCCAATTAGAAGCTCAATACCAGAGGCTTTAGGAAGAAATTAGCAAAGAGAAATGTTCTGAAACTTACAAAAAGAATTTAACACTTACTCTATAGCTCTTTGCTAGTGGTCCAATAATATTTTTAATTTTCCTTTTCTATGTGTAAACGAATATGAAGTTAAAAAAATTCCACAATGTATATGGTGACAAACTTAATTTGTATTACTATTCATCAGAAGACATTTAAACAAATTATATAATCCCCTATCAAATGTCTAACAATATTAAATAACATTTAGTTTTAAAATATTCATGTTTATATTTGCAAATTATAAGTTACAACTCTTTTATGATCAGGAAATGGTAAGTTGTTTGTTTATTTATTTTTTTTTTTCTTAAGAGATTTTTGCAATAGGGTGCTTGTGCTTGCTGGAGAGACAGAGAGAGAGCGAGAAGTGAGAAATCATCCAACCCTCCACCTAGGGGATGGCCACGTCACAATCCCTTCTCCTCCTCTCTCCTCTCAGAATTTTGGGCACAAATGCACACGTGGCTGGCATGAATTTCACGCCCCAGGTCCAGGTCTCAAACTGTGGTCAGTCATGTGGTAGTCTAGCACCCTAACCAACTACACCACCTCTTGGCCCCCAGATTGTAACTCTATGTTTTCAAAGAAAAGGCACAGAGTCATATTATTACATTTGTAACATGCTAAAATAAAAATACTTTTCCATTATTAAAAATTACATGAACACCTACATAAACTTAGATTTTGTATTAACACTTCGCCTAATTTCTTTTAAAGTTCGATAGGTATAATAACTGGTCATATTATATCCTTTGTTTTTGCCTAATTGGGATAAATCTCAGTGATTCTGTTTGATGTTTCATCTTGTAAAGGAAAGTTCATGTGTTGCCCATAATTTAGTTATCTTTTTTCCTCATATTTCAAAAATCAGTTTTGCTAGGGGCTATGGCAAGAATAGATTTTAATGCAAAGTTAACACTAACAATAAGGTACATTCCAGAAATACAGTAAATTTTAAGCTAATGCAAAGTTAACACTAACAATAAGGTATACTTCAGAAATATAGCAAATTTTAAGCATTTCTGTCAATTATAAACATGCATATTTTAATCAACCAATAAATAATTATTGAGTACCAATTAGTGCAGGGCTTTGCAAGAGAAGTAAGTATGAGCCATGTGAAAGCCATGAGAGGTATTGCAGTGGTACTCGGTAGGAGTTATAGACAGCTCCTTTCAGGACAGGCAAGAGTGTCTAAAGAACATTTAGAGATGGGCAAGAACAACCATGAGATATTTTATTTAACAAATTTTTTAAAAAGCAATTTTCTAAGAACAAAAGGGCTACATTGGGTTTAGCGAACTTCTAAAGGTAGCACTGTGTTGCCCTTATTTTTTCGTGGTAGTTGAAATCTTCTTCCACAATGGTTTATTGTGCACATTACAAAGTCTACAGGGTCTTCCGAATTAAAGTTACAGAGTTTTGGGGTTTTTTCCTACGCACACTTGAGAATGGAATATTCTTCTTTACTCTTAACATAATATGCCTTCACAGACTTCTGCAATAATTCTAGTCATAATGACAAAAGAAAATCACCAAGACAATACAATGATTTTTACAAAGAGAAAGAATGACAGTTTCGCTTCTACTTTTCAAAAATGTTTTATAATATGATTTGAGATTGGCTTTATTCAATAGGCTGAAAGAGGAATCAATTCTAACAAAATGACACTCTCTATAATAAAGAACACCTACACTTTTGAGTAAGATATCCATTCCCACACATTCACAATGTTATTATTATTATTACCATTAGACTCTTTTTCAGAATAATTGTCTGACAAGGAAAATGTGGCTTTGTTTGGAATAAACTGACAATGTCAGTAAAACAAGCAATAAAATATAAAAGGTTGAGGGTTTTGTTTTTAATCTCACTTCTGTGACTCTAATAGAAGTCTCTGCTATTTCTGGCCTTTACTCTGCCCCTCAGTGGTTCATTAATCTAGCAAATTTATTTCGTCCCTACTATGCACCAAGTGTGGTGCTAGGTGCTGATTACAACAGTAGCCAAACAGATAAGGTCCCTGCCCTCGCAGCGTAGTCTGATTTAGACGATTAATCCCATAAATAAATGCAGAATGACATATTCTGAGTACAATGAAGAAATAACACTGGGTGTCGAGAGAGAAAAACAGGAAGACATAGTTTAGATTGAAATTCTTCAGTTTCAGCTGGACCCTGAGAGATGACAAAGAATTTTTCAGATGTGGAGTTAGAAGAAGAGTATTGCAGGGGGCATGGCTTTGAAAGGTCCTGGGCATTACATGCCCAAACCTAAACAAAACACTGGGCTTGAGTACAAGAAAGGAGAAGCAGAAAGGAGCCCATGGAAGAGGTAATCAGAGGCCAGCCAGTTTGGTCAGATAAGATTCTCATTTTCTCTTGAGAGGAGTGGGAAGTTACTGAAGGATTTGAAGCAGGGGAGTTATGAAGTCATTTGTCTTTTATAAATATGACTTTGTTTACTGCCTGAAGAAAGGATTGGGAGGGAAGTTTCTCAGAGCCAGCTCTCCAGATGATCTTTAAATGCCTACATGAAATGGCCGTCATCTCCCATTACTTCCCTCCGCATACACAGTGCCGCCCACATGCCACACGCCGCCCCTCTTCGACTTACTTCCCCACCCCAACGCAGGGCTGTGCTTTGTCTCTGTTCCCCACCTCACCCTCTGCCCCCTTATTTCTCTACTAGCTATAATCTCATCAGGCTAAAGGAGATATACTTGACTCAATGGCCAGTTTCTCCTGAAGATTCTTCACCTATTCTTTAAACCCTATGCACTTGTAGAAAAATTCTGAGCAGCACAAAAGGAGTCCTGCCAAGAACTATAAACAGTTCCCCAGCCTCCATGTACACACGGCCAAGTCTGGGCTGAGAACCATTGATTAAAAGCTTTTATTCTTTCACAATTAAAAAGAAAAAAATATTGCAGACTAGCTTTGTGGCACAGCATTAGCCCACAGGCTCCACCATGGTGAGGCCTTATGGGAAGGTGTAGGGTTCACATCCTGAGATCTCCCTATAAGTTTCAAGTGCATCCAACCTCACCAGCACTTGAGTATGGATGGCTAAGGGTATGGATAGATCATGGCATGAGAACCCTTTCGAAGATGCCTTCCTCTTCTCTCTCTTTCTATCTCTCATGGAAAAATGAAATAAACAACTTTAAAAAAAATTTAAAGATAATTTCAAGCACATTTTTATAGTGCTAATATAAAATCTTATTTGTCACATACACACAATATCAACAAAAATTGCAGTTAACTATTTTTTCTATTTTCATGGTTAATAATCTCCTAATTACAAGAAAGGCATGGGTATATACAATGGGATATATTAAATCTAACAGAAAGAAAAAGAGCTAGTTCTGAAACTGGAAAACCAAATAAAACCTATTTCTTAAAGTTATATTTTCCCTCAAAGCTACCCTAGAATTCGGTCATGGTTTTATCTAGAAAGTTATTTACCTAAATAGACTCAGACATAAATTTCTCACATTACACTTTCTTTTCTTTTTTTTTTTTTTTTTTTTAATGTTCTCCCTACCTCCAAAAGGAATTATGGCTCCCTTTAAATGGGAACTTTCAGTACCTGGTACCTGCAAACTGCTTAAAGTTTGGCTCCTTGAAATGCCCCAGAGAGAGGAGCAAACTGATCTAATTGAATCGGAACTTGTGGTTCTGCTGCAATCCAACCAACTGTCTAGACAACAAGCAGTCACATAAATCACTGTGAGCTCTAAAAGACCATTTAGTCTGGGAAAAAAATTTCAATAAAGCATGTAAAAATGGGATTCTTTTCTCTTTTTTTTTTTTTTGTAACTAAACTTTGACACTTGACTAGTAAATTATCTTATAATAATTTAAAACCAATTCATGAAGAAAACATGATCAATATTGGTTTCATTATAAAGCTCTGATGAAATGAAATATGAAATGAGCCAACTGCCGGCGGCTTCCGGCAGCCAACCTTTCCTCTGCGGTCTCTCAAGGCCTCCCCCCGTTACCCACCTTGATCTCGTTCGTGCCATGTTCGACTTCCAGCAGCTGGTGAATTCGGAGAGGGGTAAAAGTCTCCTGTAGGACTTGGTTCCATGTTTTCATCTATTGAAATGGTTTTGGGTCTTTTGCTGTTAAAATATGACAGTGGTTATATTAATAGGATTTCTGGGAAATATGTGTAGCACTTAAAAGTAGATGATTTGAGAAAATTCCTACTGTAGAAAGTTCTGTAAGAACAAATAATAATATCTCAGAATCATTTTGAAATAATGGTATTTAAAACATTAACCACAAAAGCAGACACTTGTAGCTGAATAAACTATTTATTATACCATCTTATATATACTGATGAATATATATATACAGTGAATATGTTTCAAAAGAAATTTCAATGATAAACTGTTAATGCATTTTATCTACTAATATTACCTTGTGTTATTAAGGTTGCACTTAACTTTTATCATATTATTATCAATATGAATAACATTCATTTCTATACCACTTGCCATTTACATGTTATCCTTCCATATTAAACCAGAATACGGTATAGAGTAGAGTGGAGCAAGAGTTTTGGAATCAGACATGCCTAGTGTCACATCTTGACTAGGTTGTTTATTAGTTCTTAATAGTAAGCTCCTTTGGGAACAAACAGGTGGCATGCTGGTTAAGGTGCTCTACTCCTCCATGGCTAACCATGGTTCAAGTCTCAGACTGGCAGCTCGAGAATCATGCCAGGAAAATGGGGGAGAAGGGATTGCAGTGTGGCCAATCCCCCTGAGGGGTGATTTTTTACTTTCCCTCTCTCTGTCTCTCTCCGGCACATGCACATGCCCTATAGCAAAAAAAATTATATATATACAAAATATACATAGTTATGGGATTAATGGGATTAGAACTATAGATAGATAGATAGATAGATAGAGATATAGTAAGTTCCTTAACCTTTTAAAACTCAGTTTAATCATCTGTAAAATGGAAATAATAAAATCTACTTCAAAGTGGGATTTTGGAGAGGATTAAATTAGTTATTAAGTATAAAGCTCTCAGATAAATGACTGGCATTTAGAACATACTTATTAAAAAGTAATTATTTGTAGTAATCCTATAATTAATAATAACAATGTTATAGCACTTTACTCATTATAAACTATTTCATGTGTTCTTCACGTTTTTCTTAAAAAAACAGTGATTGGCACCTTATTCTTAAATCAATCACAAAGAAAAAGACTATTTCCAAATTCAGACTAAACAGAATATTTTTTAGATAATACATTGTAATCAGAAAACATGGCTTATCTCAAGTATATGTGAATATCTAAAGAATAAAAAACTATGGTATAGGCTATATTGCTTCACATATTGCTTTGATATATCCTACTAATACCCTATTAAGTTATGAAAATGGACATTTTTCTTGAATTTTAAAGAATTCTTATCCACACCTAGGTTGGTAAACACTAATGAAAAATACCTTCTGAATTAATTTAACACAGTGGTAATAAACATAAAGTCACAGGATTTCAGAGTTAGAATTTACCTCAGAAATGATCACATAAGCAAACTGCGCTCCCCTCCACTTTCCATAAATGGAAAAAAAAAAATGGTGAAATCCAGAAAACTGTCCACGGCAAGATGAAAGGAGCAATCAACAAGGATTTCTGACTTCCAAGACTGTGTCCTGGCCCCTGTACCATGTTCACAAGCCTGTGGAGTATGTGCACTCCTGGGTGTATTTGTAGATATCCTTGAGATTAATATTGACTCAGAACTCCCGGAGAATTAACATGACATAGAAAATGGCAGTTTCTGGGACCAGCAGTTAGCATAATGGCTATGTCGCTGGACTCCCACGTAGTCGACCGTGGTTCGAGTCCTGGACCTGGTGGCTTAAACTCACTCTGGGCGCGTGTGCGTGCGTGCCCAAAATTGCGAGAGAATGGAGGGAAAGGGATTGCGGCATGGCCATCCACCCTGGGGGGGTAATTTCTTGCATTCTGTCTCTCTGTCTCTCTCTGTCTGTCTGGCAAGTGCACACTCCCTATAGCAAAAACCTCTCCAAAAAAATAAAAAAATAAAAATGGCAGTTTTTTATCATGTCAGACCATGATAAGAATGAATAATATACCTTTTTAGTTTCTTCCTAAGGTACTCAAAGTTAGAACTTAACATTTTTAACTTTGCTTTTAATTTAATTCTCCCTTCTGTGAGTGCATAGTAAATATGGACAGAAAATTTAAAGTTAGAAGGAAATTATTTTCATAAGGAAGTAATAGAGAAATATTTTTGAAAGCTTGTTTATTCCCAAAGACGTAGTAACTAATACCGAGTGGCTATGAGGGTAGATCTATATTGACAACATACTAATCCTGCAGAAAAAATTACTGTTCACATTTTAAATTTAGAGAAAGGAATTCATCTTAAAGACACCAACATGTCAGACTATTTCAGTGCTGATAAACTCAATCTGCACAAATTAAAATACACTCTAACCATAAACAATACAAAATTATCATTAGTTTATAAACATATAAACATGCATAGTCTCATAAACAATTCAAATGCAATTAGCTGTCATTACTGAGAATAGCTTAGGAAAATGTTTCACCAGATAGTCTTTATTTTTTAAAAGTTGACTTTTTAAATATATGTTTTGCTCTAGAATTCATGTATGCTCTTGTATTTGATCATAGGCATATTTAATGCTCTGGGAATGAATCTTCATATGTTGAAGATCCAACTCAAAACAAAAACAATACAATTCTGTTATGTATTCATCTTGACTAAAAGTTACAACTAGAAGGTCAAGAGAGAAAATGCAAATGTCAACAAGAAGCAAAGAGACCACACTCTAGCTTCTCCCCAGCAGAGACATAAAATCAAATTTCAGAGAAGGTATTATTTTCATTGGTAACTGAGAGTTCACTATTACTAAATCAATCAAAAAAATATCACCTAATTGAGGAATTTGGCAAATTGTGACCTAGACTAAGCCCTTTAATTCTAAGGTTATGCAAATGACACATTTTAAGTTTTATATTTAAGTATCCCAAGCTTGGATATGGGATTTGGGTCAAAGTTACAAGGAACCTATCAGTTAAACACAAGAGATCACCAATGTGGTAATATCACTTATATCTGATTGATTGATTTTCATGAGAGATACGTGTTATGCACATAAGATTATGGTGAGAGAAAGAGAGAGAATGGAGCACCTTCTTAAGGGTCAGGTCATGCCACCATCTTTTTCCTTCAAACCGCCAGCCTATTGGGTCTTAGACACTTGTATGTGTACCCAGAGTGTTTCACACTGACCTAATCAAGGGTTAGGATGCTGGTTGCCTTGTGGGATCCAGCTTCTCTTTAGCAGTACATTACTATTATGCTACGGAGCTGGCATAAGGCAACATTATTTTAAAATTCATTGAGAGAATTAGTTAATTTGTAGAATTATAATATTTCATATGACAGTATAAAAAAACCATATTAATGTATTTTCATAGCTCCTTTGTCATCCTGTAAAAGATTTTTAAAAGTGCTTTAAACAATAAGTACATTTAATTTGCAAATATCAAACTAAATTTAACTTGGAAAGACTAAAAATCTGTGTCTAAGCAGCAAATTTTTATCTTCCCTCTCACTTTAATACCTACCTACTATCAGCATATCTACCTACTACATACCTATCTACATATATAAGAACATGAGCAGCTGCTCTTTTAGTTACCTGCTTGGTGGAGAAGACAGCGACCTCTGAAGATTGACCCCCGAGTTCATGTCATGATAATACGGTTGGCTTGGGATTTCTCCAATCGGGAAGTTTACTCCAGTTCCCTGGGTTATGGGTGCTGAGGAATAAGATAACAAATACTGGGAATGCCTTTCACATATGTCATCTCTCTTTGAATGGAATCATATATTTTCCCTGCCTCTGGCCAAGACTGGGCAGAAGTCTCTTCTTTACTTTAAGATTCTAATACCCACCATACACTGGGGTAGGATATAAAACCATACTGATATTCAAATTTGAAAATTTGAGATACTCAGACTATAATCATTAGTTACCGCTTCCCCTAATCATACTCTCCAACCTGTTTCGTTCACTCCTTTGCATAAGTCATCAGTGTATCTGTCTCCCTCCTAGTCTATAGGTACTTTGGAGGAAACAGAACATGTGATTCATGTCACTCAGCACCAAACATGGTGCTTTATTCACACTGTAGAGGCTCTTGAAAACCACCATAGTTAAATAAACTAAGATAAAAAAGCTTTACGAATACCAAAGATCATTATTCTACAGTACTGTTAATATTAGGATAGATTAAAAGCCATAATACTTGTAATTATTTGGCATACACAATGCTTCCATTAGGGTAAACATATAAATGGAATTTATAAATAAGAAATAAAAGATAAATTTGTTTTCAAGATTCATACTCAGGTTTTACGTATGAATGCCAAGTGTGGTTTGCATATTATGCTTTCCAATAGATGTTTACTACTACTTTATCAATCGTTTAAAATATGCTCATGGAGGGTTATACTTTAAGGTATTACTTTGTAAGTCAACAAACCTTTTTGAATTTTGCCAATACAGTATAAATTAAGAATTTTGTGTATGTAAGTACTGTCCTTTATTCAATGGATTGTATCTGCTCAGATTTTTTACATTTATTTTTAGGGCTCTTGAATAAATCTGTGAGGTAGCACAGTATTAGACTGAGCGAATCTGGAAAGATAACTAGCTTTTCAGGTTGAATTCTCTCTGCCATCTGTGAGCCATGTGCCTCAGTTTCCTAGACTAGGAAACAGGGAAAAAATCCTAGCATAGCTGATCATTCTGAAGATGAGGAGGTGAGGAAGTGATGGAGGTGAGGAGTGAGGCTGGCATTGTGCCTAGAGCATGAGACATCCTCAGCATGTGTGGATTTGGGGTTTCCCTGGTCCCAGATCCCATCCCTGGCAGAATGGAGTGAGGAGCAAAGACGGAACAATTGAAAGACATGCTAAAAGCAGACAAAGAAGTATAAATGAACCTGTTTGCTAAAAGTTTGTTTACTGAACAAGTCATTGATTGTGTCCATTACTGGCAGGTATTCCAATCGATACAAAATGGTCTGCCTTTAATAGACATTGCCAACAGTTGTGCCAACAAGGCACTCATGCAAAACATGTAAATACCAGGATAATGGTAATTCCAGTGAAACTGCCCCTATGAATGACATGATCAACAAGTGCAATAGGATTTCTAGGAGGAAAGAATCCAGTACAGGCTTGAATGGTCCACAGAGTCTGTGGAATCGCCCTGGCAATCACTGAGCTCTGGAGAATGAACAGGGATTGAAGGGAGGTCGTTCCAAAAGGGGTTTCTGCAGGAGCAAATCAAGGGCAGAGAAAATGTGGAGCATAGAGAGCAGGCGGATAGGAATCAAAGACTAGGGCTTAACAACAGTTTATATTTCGTCACCTGTTTTAATCAAGCCTTTAAAACTCTAATGAGAGAAAGTGCATCCTGGGGCTTGGCAACAAAATTCCAGAGCTCCCAAGAGTCACTCTAAGAACACATGGCTGACTTAAATCTTCCCCTCTCTCCTAACTGCCTCAAGGTGAAAATAAAATTCCAATGGGACTACAGATTTCCAAAGAATTCTTCTTACCCAGAATTTATAATAAACTCTCAAAGTGGGTCCACTAGCAGTTGAATTGTATTTTAATACCAAGCAGGCCAAGATTAGCTTAAAATGTGTTTAAGAACGTATAGATTGGGCAGTACAAGCTTTACTGCAGAGAAGTAATCGAGAAATACATCATTACTACTAAAATTAATTGAATTAATATATACGTGATTGGACTCAACTCCAAACTTCTGAAGCATCTGCCTTCTTTTAGTTTGTTCATTTTATATTTATAAAGTTATACTCACTTTAACCTCCATTTTCACAGAAAATATCTGTTTGTACTGTGTAACTCTGCCTGGTGGCTTGAATTATGTGGACGGCTAAAATGTAGCTATGTTTGTTGTGACTTGAGGTACATCCAAGATTAAAAAAAAATAGGAGGTAAGAAATCCTACAATAAACACATGCTTTAAAATTTATTATTAGAACCATGTTCTATGTGACACTGGAAGCAGATGACATACTAGAGCATTTTAGGGACTCAGTGAACGTAAGCATTCTGTCTGGCAACTCACAACAGTTAAGAATACAACCCAAAGAGCTGAGTTACTAACAGGAAATGTACAGGTCGTACCCTATGTAAGCTACATGCCCACTAACTAAGGTCATGCAGTATCTAGCCTAAGATTTGTAGCTCCTATTGAGTACATGGGACTAGACACAGTTTGCTTGGCTGAAAGCATACTGGGTATAGTTTAAAATAAAATAATAATTTTTTAAATCTTTAGAAATGTTCCTAAATGTTCATGAAGGATTATTCCAGAGTATCCAACTTGCAATAAAATAATTTGTCTACAGATTTATACATGAGCACTGTAAAACTTTAGGATGCATTCTGATACTGAATAAGAGATAACAGGAAAAAATAGTAGATTAATAATCAATATGGCCAAAATACTAAAACTACACACACGCAACTCTCTTAATGACAAAGAGAATGTGAGAAGGCAGAGTCTCAGTCAGATCCTCCTGCTTAAAAGCCTCTGGAAAAACTGACAACAGAGGCAAGGATCAGCCTTAGCACATCTCCCAGAGAGCTGCAAGAAGGCTGAAAGCTGCAAATCATGTTGAAGAGGCTGCCAATATCCTCTTAGACACCAAGCCCCAAAGAACCTCAGATTCTAAGGGCTAGAGGCCAACCCTTAACCTCTCTTATTGTTCTCCTCACTCCAGAAGCTGATCCTAAATCAACTTTTAAGATGGAGATAATATCATTCAAGGGAGAGATCACTATCCTAAAACTGAAGAGCTTCATTAGCTAAAGTCAACACACACATTAGTGGATCATATGATAGTAAAACCCTAGAGGATAGAAGCCATTAACATACTGTGAACCCTCAAGAAGTCAGAATTTGTGATATGCAGTGCAAGAGTGGTGCTGAAGTTTATGTTTACTTGGCAAACCCTTATTTCATAAATAATAAAGCTCGACTGTATAAACAGGATTATAATGTGGATATATTAAAACACTTAGGAGAATAACTTCTCAAGCATTTCAGAGACACCTATTTACATATGGAGAAAATAAATGTTTGCAGAATAAATTAGCTAATGAATGAATATAGATAATTAATGTACTAATTACAAATCAGTAATGTTTGTTATAACAAATAACCTAAAAACCTTTAAGAGATGACAGTAGGAATTAAGAATGAATAAATGAAGTAGGTTAAATTTACTTTGTTTCTAATCATTACAGAAAGATATTTTGAACTTATTTATATTTGAAGTTCAGATTTTTCAAAATATCACTCTGGGCTTTAGAAGGTTCTAATGTGGTTCTCCTTTGACAGCACTTAGCATGGTATTACCTATAATGAGAAACTAAATAAATAGTTCCTGACAGATGACTTTACTGCCCTTCTCATAAAATGGAAAAAAGTATCATGGAATTTAGAAAAGTACATATTTAAGCAAATAATGTTATAAGCTTCCTAAATGTTACATCTACCCTTTCTTCAAAAGAATAGTGTGGAGAAAACACACACACACACCCCTCTTTCAAATACCCTCTTCTTTGTGAGATGCTAGAAAGTGGTAATGAATAAATCAGGCATAATTTCTTTCCAAATTAAAAATTTTAAATGTCAGAGTTCTTGACAAATCATATATTGATCTAAAAAAAAAAAAAAAAAAAAAGACCCACTCCTTTGGCGGAGGGAGAAGCCAACAAAAT